TTTTTTTCCTTTTCCTGTTTTTTTTTTTTTTTTTTTTCTCATTACCGGAGATGGAACTCAAGACCTTGTGCTTGCGAGGCAGGCAGCAGCACCATTGAGCTAAATCCTCAGCCCTCCTTATCCTTTCTTAAGGAACTTGGCTTTTTACATTTCTGATTTTTTTTTAGCTGCTCCTTCACTGCCTTTCAAAAACTGACCATTTATTTTCTAGTTGGTTTTGTTTAAAAAGGTTCACCTGATACATGCTACTTCATCTCGGGCAGAGTTCTCTTCTACGACCACCAGTCCTATTACACTGTGGACTAATAACCAGAATTACTGCCATAAGATTATTTGTCCCAGTACAATCATACTGGGGGAGGTAGGGCCTCAGTATATGAATCTGGAGGGAACATAGTTCATTCCATGGCACGCTCCTCAGCTCATGATGGGACTGTGTCCCTGTAGACCCATTACAAAGTCAAAAATTCGTGTTAGGGACCATCTGTACACAAAAGTACTTAGTTACCTGGCACATAGTAATTAGTTACGGCTGTGAGAAGAGGCGATTTTTAACGTTTTATTTTTTTTCTTTCTTTTCTAGGTGCTGACTCTGGGTTACTTTACAGAAGACTAGGAATGGTAGTTTCTACTTTTCAGACTGCAGACTAAGAAGCTAAAGAGAAGCCTATGTAAATAACTGACGCCTCTCCTGCTGTCCTCTTGTGTTTGGAGAACCTTTGTTTCACATATCTGAGGAGTTAACTAGTACCGTCATTATGAATGTGACAAGCTTATTTTCCTTCACAAGCCCAGCTGTGAAGAGACTTCTTGGGTGGAAACAGGGTGATGAAGAAGAAAAATGGGCAGAGAAAGCTGTTGATGCTTTGGTGAAAAAACTGAAGAAAAAGAAAGGTGCCATGGAGGAACTTGAAAAGGCTTTGAGCTGCCCAGGGCAGCCAAGTAACTGTGTCACCATTCCCCGATCATTGGATGGCAGGCTGCAGGTCTCCCACCGGAAGGGACTGCCTCACGTCATTTACTGCCGTGTGTGGCGCTGGCCTGATCTTCAGAGCCACCATGAGCTAAAACCACTGGAGTGCTGCGAGTTTCCTTTTGGTTCCAAGCAGAAGGAGGTCTGCATCAACCCCTACCACTATAAGCGAGTAGAAAGCCCTGGTGAGTGAGTCTGTCTGTGTTAATGTACTTTGCCAGTAGAACTGTGTTGTCTCAAACCAAATGAGCTCTTTCTTTTTTTTTTTTTTTTTTTTTAGTTGTAATTCCAACATATTTTGGGGGAAAGTATGTGTCTGAGTGTATGTAAGAGATAGGTGATTGAGAGAGAGGAGGGCGGGAGAGTGCCCATGTGTTAGCTCTCCTTTGTTGTGACAAATATCTGTGAGAATCAGCTTACAAAGAGAAGAGGTTTCTTTTGGCTAATAGCTTTGGAGGTGTCGCTCCATGGCCAGTTGTCCACACTGCTTTTGAGCCTGTGGCAAGGTAGCATGTCATGGTGTGGAGCATGTAGCAGAGCAAAGTGTGTGGCAGAGCAAAGAGAAGAGGAGGAAGCTGGGGTCCCGTGATGCCCTCCAAGGGAGGACTCCTTAGAGACCTGACTCCGCTCCCACTAGGCCTCATCTGGGAAAGACACTGTTACATGGCACTTTTTATCATCTCTAGTGGAATTTTGCTGTGATGTATTTCTTGTGTAGGATGTGAAGAAAGTATGTTCTATTGTAAAACCATTTGCTAAAATTATTTTGTAAAGTGTTCCTAGCTTTTGCTCACATGGCCTTTTGGGTGTTGGTCCTCCATATGTGTGGGCTCTGCATTCATTCATAGAACTAACTAGGAATTGAACATACTCAGAAGAAAAAAATGTCATACATGCTCAGTATAGACAACATTTTTCTGCTCTTTAGTTTCTAAACAGTGTAACAACTATATACACAGCTTTTACATTATATTAGGTGTTATAAATAATTCAGGGGTTATTTAAACTATAGGGGAGGATTGTGGAGGTGATATGCAAGTACCCCTCACTTATATAAGGGACTTGAGCATCTGCAGATTATAGTGCCTGAGGGAGGCTCAGAACCAATCTCTCATGGGTGTGGACAGACAACTAGAGTTTTTAATTTGGGAAGTGTTTTTGCCTTTAAGTTAGAATCCACATTCAGAATCCACATTCAAGACAAATCAATTGGAATGTGATCAGATATTGAAGCATTTAAACACCTCATCACATTGGAACCACTTTTGTTAATGTATTGGCTATTAATGCACTAATTAATACTAGTTAATTGGCCAGTGGTCTAAGAGTTTACAAACGTGAATGTGCACTAGATCACATGGCTTCCCTCCGAGGCATCCTGATCCCGGGACAGCATACTGGTCTGCTTTTAACAAGTACTTCAGGTATCGCTGGTGCAGCTGTTGGATTGGTATTTGGGAACGGCCAAGCTAGGTCATGTAATAACAAGCTTTTAACCACTTACCAGTCCAGTTATTTAAATACAAGGTGATAAAGAATTGTGTATTTTTTTGGTTAATTTTTACAAGATAATATATCAGGAAATATAAAAATAATAATTGTATCAAACTTAGTAATTTTTCTGTGTATTCTGTGTCTTAAAACATTGATCACCTCCCTGAGCATTCCCCGGAACAGTCAGTACGTAAATAGATGCGCTGCCTGAGTGATGATTGGGGTAAACTGTTAAGCGGTTAAATAAAAGGCATTCTATATTTTTGTAAAGTATTTAAGACATACAGAAAGCACCTAAAGACTACAGAATAATTTGCAAATGCTTTTGTCTTCACCACTCGGTTTAAGAAATAAGGGATCGTACTTAAACTGAAGCCCTTGATTGTATGCCCCAGCCCCATTTCCTTCAGTAACCACTATTTTTCATTTGATATCTGTCCTTCCCATCCGTACTATACACTGTTAATATTATATGTGTGTGAATCTGTGACAGTGCATATTTTGTACATTTTAAGATATTACGGAATGATATTAGAATTTTTCCTTGTACAACTAACATTGTATTCATTCAATGTTATATTTTTGTGATTCTGGATTATACATTCTAGGATTATGTATTTACTGAAATTTCATTGATTCCCTTTGGGAAAGACTAATGCAATTATGTTCTTGAACATACTAGTTAGTACTCTTTTTTTCCATACAGTTCTTGCACATCTTTTCTTAGATTTATTTCTAGATTGAATTGTCCTTACTAGTTCAATATAGACATTTTTCTGCTTCTTGTACCAAATAAGATATACTGTAGTTGTTGATTTTTTTTTTAAGAAAAAACTCAATACAGACATATATGGTCCTCTTTTTAGCCAGAAACTGAAGCAGAGCTAAGAGTTTTGGAGAATTAACAGCAGAGGATAAGTCATATGTAGAAACAGGATTTGGGTAGATGGATGTTTTGATCTCAATTGTGACTTTCAGGGGTACGTTTTAGGGGAATATTTTAATCCTGCACAAATCACAAAACTTACTCCCCTGCAAGTTAGTGACCTGTGTGGAAAGTAGGAGTGTTTTGACATGAAAAGTATCCTGCAGCTGAGAGTCACCGTTAGAACACACTGCGTATGTGTCTTCCCTACCCACCTGTCCCTCTCTGGGCCAGCCTTCTAGTTCTGTAGTTCATTTTGCCCTGCAGCAGTTGCCTACTCTTCCCTCCTCCCTCTTTGCCCAGCTCACTCTTCTTTGTGTTGAAACTTAATGGAGTGTCCCTAGGAATCCTTTCTTGATACCTCCTTTTCTTTCTCCAACATAGGTTATGTCTTTCTCATTGCAACCTGAACTTCTTTCATAATGGCTGCAGTTATTCCTCTGTTGGCCCCTCTCTGCTAGGAAGAGGGCAAAGGCCCATGAAGGCAGGGTCATGTGTGTTACTAACATCTCTATTCTTAGCAGTTCCCATAGTTCAGTACATTTTTGCCTTTAAATAAAATGCTGGTTATATTTTATCTTGTATGGTCATTTGTCCATTTTATGGAGAATTTTCAGTTTGTCTGTTCCCTTTGACCATCCTTTCTTTGGTCATTTCATTGCTGTTACTAACACCTCTGACATAAGATTAAAAAGACAAGTACTGAGGTGATTTTGTTGATCTTAATAACTTACATTCTCTAATAAAAGCTTTGATAGGAAGGAGATGGAAAACTGGCTAAAATACACATTTTGAGACTTTGCAAATATCACTTTGGTCTCCTGTCTTCTCAGGAATCTTATGAGCCATGCATAGAACAGTTCTAGAAAACTTTTAAGACCAAAGGTAAGATATACTTAATTTGAACCCATCAGGACTTTACTTAACATTTTTTCATACTGGGGAGTGGCTGATGTGAGAATGGCAGCAAATGGACATCTTTGTAGACCCCACTCTGAAGCAGCCTCCCTATCCCATGGGGAGAGGCTGTGCTGAAACAATCTCTAGACCTCCCAGAATTGAGTAGATTTTTCTATCTATAAGAGCCACATGGGGCACACCTGGGTATTTCTGTGAGGCAGGAAAAAGGGGATCTAGAATTCTGAGCTACAGATACACAACTCAACAATGAATTACTTTAAACTGCATACATATTTTACCTCAAATGAGGTATTTCAAAGAGCAGCATAGCAGTTTAAGCACATGATAGTTAAGTCTTCCAAATTTGGTGTTATATACCGAGGTCCTGACAACTTATGAGGAAAAAAAAAAACAGAAACCTTGATTATCTAGACAGTTTAGTATTCAAACTTGTGGCCTCTGGTGTAGTAGCACCCATGTCACCTCAGTTTGTTAGAAGTGAAGATTTTTAAATTAACCAGTAATTGTGTATGTTTATAGGGTGCAATATGATGTTTCAATGTATGTATACATCATGGAATGATCACATTAGGCTAACACATTTATCGCTACCCATACTTGTCATTTCTTTGTGGTGGGAACATCTAAAATCTTTTTTAGCAGTTTTGAAATTCATAATATATCATTGGCGATAGTCACTCGCTGTGTAAGAGGTCACCAGCACTATTCCTTCTGTCTCATTGAAACTTTGTACCTTTTGACCAGCATCTCTCCTCCCCGTCTCCTTCAACCTCCAGCAACCACTGTTCTACTCTGCTTCTGAGTTCAGTGTTTTTGGATTCTACATCTCATTTTTAGATTCATGAGGAATAGTCGTGCATTGCTTTGATTCTCATGCATGCTAATGTTGGAAAGCCACCGGTTAGGTGTCCAGTTGAATCAGTCAAGCCTGGTTGTCTGGGTGTAGTTGTCTCTATTCAAAAGGAAATCCTACAGAGTTTGTCTTTTAAATTATTCAGCATTTTGATTTTGCGTGTTCTAATAGTTATAAAATGACTTCCTCTTTCCAGAATTTTCTTTCCAGTGATGCTTACTAAGATTAGCCCTCTGATGTCCTCAAGTGCATAGTGAAAAAGAGAGGAATGCTTTTGTCATTTGGGTCAATGCAGGTTTTTCCCCCCAAATTTCAATTTTTATCAGCACATTTGTAAGTATATAATGATTTCATTTATTGTGAGGCGTTGCTACATGTATATAACATATCATTGTGTCTGAGAATTGTCTATTCATTTCAGTTGCCCATTTTTTTATTGGATCTTTTATTTTAGGGGAATTCTAATTTTTTTGAATTCTTTCTGTATTCCAAATATTGTCTGGGTGTAGCTGGAAAGAAAAAATTTTCCCATTTTGTAGGTTGTCTTTTCACTCTTTATTTCTTTTGCTGTGCAGAAGCTTTTCAATTTGAAATAATCCCATTTGTTGATTCTTTTCTTTATTGAGTTTATACTTGTTAGGTATACAGTACAGTTACAGTCATCATTGGGCCATTTGCTGATTCTTGATGTTACTTCTTATGCATTTGGTATTCTGTTCAGATACCTTTTGGGTCTCTTACTGTGTTGTCTTAACCGACAGTAATTTTTTGAGTTCAAATAATTGTTTTTATTTATGCCATTTAATACATTCTAAATAAAATAGTGTAAAACTGAGGAAAACTTGAAACTTTCAGAAACACTCTACCCCAGCTTGTATTCATTTAGTTAACAATGACTGAGGAAGGAGTAACTTTCCTTTTGTTGCAAGGTACTGCTTTGACCCTGACTGAAAAATTCATCTTTGGGAAGTAGAGATCATGCCAGGCACCCC